CTCAGGTCCCTTCCGACCCTAGAAACTACGAAACTATGAAGCCTCGCATCTACATCCTTTTGCTCCAGCGTTACAACTGCCTGAAAATCAGAATGCCTTAAGCCTCACTGATAAAGCAATCCTCCAAACACAAGCATGTACAGATCTGAAGTACTTTCTGTAACTGTGAACAGTGATCTACTGCTGCCACCTACTGCAGACATAATTTGCTGTAAATAAGAGGTAGCTCATAAAGCTTCTGCCTCCACGAATTAGTCTATAAGGTGCGACCCTACTGTGCCTTCTTTGCTGTAGAAGATGCAGCAATTCTTAAAAGCTTTCACATTGGTTAAATGTAAGGTTAGTCCATGGACAAAAGTTTTGTTTTAACTGAACTTCTCTATTTGTATAGTTAGAAGGGGAATCTCCTTTCTCTTCCCTTTCAGTGCTTTAATATAATAGCTATACCAGGCTATTTTAAGCAAAGCATGCTTGAGCAGATGAAGCTTACAAAAGTGAAAGTTTGCTGCCATTTGCAGTATAGCTAGGTACAGGCACTCAAAAAGCGCAAGGCGGAATTGATCTAAGTGATGCAGTTTTCTGTAAGAGGTGTTGTTTAGATCAGTAGCAAACAGAATACATATTCGTCCTTTGGCTGGTGGTGGGGAGGGGGGACGGAGATGGGGAAGGGGACAAATCTTACACCTTGTTCCTCCATTTTTAAACTTGTGCTGAACTTCTGTTCTGGGTATAGACTTGTTCTGTGTGCAAAACTTCTGTTTTGTGATTCCTTATACCAGTAAATGTATAATGTTTGTACTTGGCCTATATGTTGTCAGCTACGTTGGTCACAAATTACAACTCATCACACCTCTGTCTAACATGACTGCCGTACAGTCTAAATTGGTCCTATCTTGGATGCAGTCGGATCAATATGAAGTTATTTTGTATTGGCACCGCCATTCCCACAAAGGAATAAGGGTAACCTATGCAGGTATAAGGGATTTTTGTGTTGGAAAATAACAGTGAGCATAGTAGGTATGGAAGCCGCATGACTGTACAAGTACACAATTGTATCATTAATTCATGTAGTTGTACCTCTACAAGAAATGTGTCCAAATCTGCTAATAAAAATCAATTGACTTTTGGAGTATTTAGTTAATTTCTGTGAACTTTTACCTTTGCAACGTTTAATAAGCTGGCTGTTCAGAGAATGTAGCATAGAACATTCATTTGCAAAATCAAATACTGCAGACAGTTTTGATCAAGATAGCAAGCTTGGGCAGAAACAGGGTTTTTCTATAATGTTTGGATCCAGCTTTAGATCTACATTTCATTTCCTCCTCCAGCACAATGTAGAAATACTTAGATTCAAGGTTTGGTTCAAACTCATCCCTACTCCATGTCTGCTAGTGTTACTAGGAGCGATTTTCAACAAAATGAAATGCATCAATTATATTATAACATGGGGACATTAATACAATTAAAGGGAACAAAGTCATCAAGTCCTATCCCCTGAGATTGCAGTCAACCATATTTGAAATAATGAATTCATGTTTATTATATATTTAAAAATAATGTTAAATTCTGTCTAAATAGGGAAGAGAAAACAAAAATGCATGTCTGACTGGATGGGTGTAAGCATGGTACAAAAGAACTGCTCCTATTGAAGACAATGGCAAGACTCTGTCAGACTCAGCTTGTCTCCTATATCCTCAGTGCAGAGTAAATGTATTCCATTATGGTTATGCGTAATCTCTGCAGACACTTTTACATCTAGCTCTCCTTGTTACACCAAAGTCATGTGACTGGCAAGTCTTGATCTACTTTATACAAAATGATAACAAAGAGCAACATATTTTTTACAATAATACCTCAGATAAAGGTTAAGGTTCAAATTGCTTTGTGAAAAAGGCTTGTAGAGTTCTATCCAGTGTTGTCCTAAGATAGTTGCAGCTCATCAAGTATTGTATTTTCTCACATATAACACACATGGTTCTCTCAAAAACAAGGTGCTGGAAATTGGAGCGTACAATGTAAGTGAGAAAATATGATAACAACATTTTCTGCTGCTTAAGTTTTGGCTGGGAAAAAGCTAAAATCTGCACATGATCCAAATGGAGCAGAACAAAGACCAGGTCTGGCTCCCTAGATGCTGCTACACAGTTAGTTACTACAAGGAAAAATCTTTTCCCCTTCATTCTGCCTTTCAGAAAAGAGGTGTGTATCTTATTCTTGGGTGTGTTGTATGTACAGAGTATACGTAATATACAGGGGTGTAGAATCACATCCACTAACTAGTAGTGAAATAAAAATAAATCTAGAGAAAAAGTGAATCAAACCTTTTGCATAGCTTGACAATTCAAATGAAATTGGTAAAATTGGACTCTACTACTGTGCACAATTAACAGAGATCCCATGTCCTATGCTTGCCATCATTTTCATATAGATACAGTCTATTCAAACCCTGTACCCATATCTATTTCTCCTTCTAGGTAGATAAGTAGAACTTACACGGCTAGAGTCAGCAATGAGAGTAGCATTTGGGAGCATATAGATGGATTTTAGATCCTACTCCCATTTGCACAACCTTACTTGTCTTTGTAAGCAAGCTCAGAAGGAATATGCTTAGGCCCTTTATGCTCTGTAATCCTCTGTTGCCTTATTTATTTGGTAATTTTCTGTTGAACAGTTTACATCCCACTCCATTTCTTGTGCTCAGACTAGTATTTTGGGTGATATTGAGCACCCTGCCTCAGCAGGTTCTCAAGGGGTTCTTATGCTTCAGGGGCACACAACAATGCTTCTAGAAATTACTCAGTTCATGAAGGTAGAAATGTTACTGCCTTACCACTGATGAGGTACTCTTCTCAACCACTTTTGGGGTGAGTTAGGCAGTCTTAATGGGAAAAGAAAATGTGATACACTGGCTTTCAGCTTCAGCACCGTCTAGCAGTAGCAACCAGTCAATTCTTGATGCTCTCCCAAAGCACAATCCATTTTAAGTCTTCTCTGGGCCATATTTGCTTTTTCATTTAGGTAGAACTGTGCTTAACTGGGAAAACAGAGGCCTTTTTCTTCTCCTCGACTGCTTAAAAGTATCTTTTTTACTGTTGTGTGTGAACGTTTGTGTGAATAGATTTCAAACACTAGGTGTCAGTCACTCACCTCACAAATGCCTCTGACTCTAGACTTAGCTCATGTTAGGTAACACTGCTTTGTGGGGTGTTGTAAAACTAGTTGGCCATAAAAAAGTAATGCTAGATAGTAACAACAAAGGTAAC